CTCTCCCCCTGGGTCAGAGTGAGCACCGTATCCCCCTGGGTCACAGTGAGCACCGTATCCCCCTCTCCCCCTGGGTCACAGTGAGCACCGTATCCCCCTCAATCCCCTTCCCCCTCCCCAGGTCAGAGTGAGCGTTGTACCCTCCCGGGAGCAGAGTGGACATTGTATCCCCCTGGGGTGAGAATGGACAGTATATAGGCCAGCAGTGACTCCCTCAGCTGGCACTGACCCCTTGCCTGTCAGTGCTGGTGGTCTTGCATCAACATATCAGTCTCCCTCGGCATCCACTCACACACACCTGTCAGAGTTGACACCAATTCACCCAGCACCAATTGATATCAAATTTCTGAGACAGATTGACAGTGAGTGCCTTAACATCAATTTGCATGCCACAGGTTTGTCTGGCAACAGAGTAGACACCATCTCACCTGAAACTGGTTGGCATTAGCACAATGCCCAGGAACCGTGCATTTTCAGAGCCAGAGTACTCAGCAGAATGTTCGGTCAGCCTGCCCTCTGATCCTGAGCAGGGTGTGGAACGGAGCCGAGAAGTGACAGTCAGGAATTCGGGATGTTGCCTCTGCCTCCCCCGTTTCATGAGACTGACTTTTGTGCCCGAATCCCTGGAGAACCTGTACCAGACATACTTCCGCCGGCAACGACATGATACACTTCTGGTTCTGGTGGTCTTTGCTGCACTATTTGACTGTTACGTCATCATCACATGTACGGTGCTGTACTCCAGTGACAAGTTAGCCTCTCTCCTGGTGGCTGGAATCGGACTGGCTGTTCATCTCCTCCTCTTCGTCTTGTGTAGGTTTGGACTTGTCCCGGATAAAATTTCCCAGAAGGTCATTCCATATAGTCTCTGGGTCCTCATCGCCGCCCAGATCTTCTCCTACCTGGGCCTGAACTTCTCCCACTCTCATGAGGCCAGTGACACAGTGGGCTGGCAAGCTTTCTTCACCTTCTCCTTCTTCATCACCCTTCCACTGCAGCTGACACCCATTGTCCTCATCACCGGCACCACATGTGGGGTTCACACCCTTGTTCTGGGGGTCACCATCGCCCAGCAACAACAGGAGCAGATCAACAGTATGGCCTTGGTGCAGCAGGTACAGGGATGGTCATTTCTGTGCAATCTCAGGGGTGCACTGTACAACCAGGGAGAACTTTAGGCCAAAGAGACATGGGACTTTTGGAACTGTTTACTGGAAGCAACTTGAAATGAGAGTTTGCAATGGGGCCAGTTGCAACAGAATGTGGAGTGAAAGTGACTGAGGGATGTGGGAAAGACAGCACTGATTTAATTGGAGGACATGGGATGAAAGGTGGATCAGTGAAATTGGGGAATACGGGAAAGGAGGTTGGGCATAAGGAGAGTGAATGAGATAGGGCATATGGGGAGGGGGTGAGATGGGGATATGGAGAGTGGGTGAGTTGGGGGATATGGGAAAGGAGGGTGTGATTTTGGCGATATGGAAGGGATAGGTTGAGGGATTTAGAGGAAGATGAGTAGAGGAATATGGGGAGGGGATGATGTGGGGTATGTGAAGAGAGTTTTGGGGGATATGAGGAGGAGATGAGTTGGAGGATATTGGGTGGGTTGGGATATATGAGGAGAGGGGTGAGTTGGGGGACATGAAGAACATATGTTTGAGGAACTGTGAAAGGACAGGATTGGTTGCTTTCAATTTCTGAGTACGATGTAAGATACTGACATGATAATGTAAATATCCTAAAATTATTAATTACACTTGAAGCAATGTAGGTGTGGTACTTCTGTGTTAAAAATGTTGGTGAAACTCAGTAGCTCTGGCAGTACCTGTGAAGAGAGAAACATTTCTGATGAAGGGATCTGGATTCAAAATGTTAACTCTGTTTTTCTCTCCACAGAAGCTACCAGACCTGCTGAGTTTCTCCAGCAATTTCTGTTTTTGTTTCATATTTCCAGCATCCAGAGTTCTTTATTTTATTAGTACTGAGGCAACTTCATTCTGAGGCTGATGTGTGACTTGTGCAGTTAAGCTTTGCAAAGGAAAAACAATCATTCAAGATCATGTTCTTAGTCCTGGTGCTGTTCTGAGTCAATTAAGTAAGGAAAGGCCCAGGCTTCATTCTTGGCCTGTGCTGATCTCGCCTGCGTCAGTGAGGCCCACAACAACATGTATTGTCTTTAAAGTAAAAAATTCTCCAGTAATTCACAGGGTTGATAATCTGATTAAATATTTCGCTTCTCGCCTTGAATGTTGTCGTCTCCCAAAATCACATCCTATCTTTCCCAGAATTTGATCTGTCCAATCAGGTTTCCACTGCTGCCACAGTATTGAAACAACTCTTAACAAAGTCACTGCTGCCACCCTATATATCTATATGAGTCTGGTAAACCATTTACTCTTGTCCTCTTCAACCGGTCTGCAGCCTTTGACACAGTCAGTCAGACCATCCTCCTCCTGCACATCTTCACCATCATCTGGCTGGTGGGATTGCTCTCATTCAGTTAGGGATAAGCAAGCAATGCACTCTTCCCATGGATGAATAAAGAATCACAGTCAGAGAATCACTGACAATGGTTTATCTAATTGCTCCTGCATCATTATCTCTGATGTCCCCATAGGTTCACTTTGAGTGAAATAATTATTTTGAGTCTGGTAAATGTTCACTCTGTTTCTCTCTCCACAGATATTGCCAGATCTGTTGAATTCCTCCAGCATTCTCTGTGTTCATTTCCAACATTCCATTTGTCTTCTGTAGTATTGACTGAACATGCACGCAAGTTTTTTTGTGCTTGATGCACAAGATGTCCCAAATCTTTCTGTTGCTGCAACTTTCTGCTTTCTTTCTCCATTTAAGTAATATTTATGTCCTCTATTCCACCAACTAAAGTACATAATATCACATCTCCCTGCAGTACATTGTTGTGACACAAAGACAGACAGCCAATTGAAACCAGCCTCCCTATTCGCAGCAGTAGAATAAAACCTTCAAAGACCTCAACAGTGAACCAGTGGTTTCTAACCAGACTTTTCGAATAAAAAGCACCAAACTTTGAGATAATTGATTCTAGACTCTGGGTTTGTAGTTTAAACAAGACTTAACTATTTATTAATAATGCAGCAAATAATGTAATGTAATTGATGTGTATGATTTAAACCCAATAACCTTTGTTTTCAACCTCATTCACACAAAAGACAGACAGACAACCAAACACAGTTTGGGGATAGATAAAAGAAAATAACAAAATTGGCCAGATCACTTAAGCAGTTTTCTTGGTGCATTGTTCATGATACATTGTTCCACAGGCGTATATGATTGTTTCTTGGGTGATTTTCTGAAGACGTTGATCAGGGCCACCTTTTCAGTTCGCTCTGAGGAAATTTCAGTAATATTTATAACTTAGTTTCTATTCCCTGAACTTCTAGGAGCTAGCTGATACTGGGAGGTTAGGTGAGAACTTTCCAGTCTTTATGCTGTAGCAACAACTCCTGTCATAACGACAGTCCAAAAACCAGTTCAAACTCTTCGGCTCCTCCCTCTGTTTGACCAACATGTTCTCTCCCAGACTTGCTGGCAACAAATCCCATTAACCATTGTAGGAGGGACGTGATAGCACAGGTGAGGGTGCAGAGGAGATTTGCCAAGTTCTAAGGAAGGGTCACAGGACCCGAAACGTTAACTCTGATTTTTTTCTTCATAGATGCTGCTAGACCTGCTGAGCTTTTCCAGCAACTTCTGTTTTTGTTTGCCAAGATGTTGCCTGGCTGGAAAATTTCAGTTCTGAAGAGAGAATGGACAGACTGGGGTTGTTTTCCTTAGAGTAGAGGAGATTGAGAGGGAACACATGAGATGTTTAACATTATGATAGGCATAGATAAAGTGGGTGGGAAGAAATTTGTTCCCTTTTTGGAGGGATCAATAGCTGGGGGCATAGATTTAAGGGAAGGGCAGGAAGTTTAGAGGAGATGTGAAGGAAGACTTTTTCAGCCAGAAGGTGGTGAGAATCCGGAAGTCACTGCCTGTAAAGGTGGTGGAGGCAGAAACCTTCTTAACGTTCAAGAATTTAGATGTGCACTTACAATGCCAAGGCGTACAAGGCTATGGGCTAATTACTCGAAAATGGAATTAGAACATTTAGGTGGTTGTTTTTGACTAGTGTGGACATGGTGGGCCCAAGGGCCATTTTCTGTGTTATAGATCTCTTTGACTCAATGTAGGATGAAGCCATCTGAAGCCTAGGTAGGCTACATCAAAAGCTTTGCACTCATCTACACCTGGTCACCTCTGAAAAATTCAATCACGTTATCAGACATGACCTCTCTTTAACTGAACCATGCTGATTGTTTTTCCTTAATCCCTGCCTCTCCAAGTTCAGGTTAATTCTATCCCTCAGACTTGCTTCCAGCAGTTTCCCCACCACTGAGGGTAGATTTATTATTTATTATTATTTATTATTCATTCATTTTGTAGGATATGGGCACCGTTGGCTGGGCCAGCATTTATTACCTGTCTCTGGTTGCCCTTGAGAAGGTGGGGGTAAGCTGCCTTCTTGAACTACTGCAGTCCACATGCTGTGGGTTGACCCACAGTGCCCTTAGGGAGGGAATTCCAGGATTTTGACCCAGCGACAGTGAAGGAACGGCGATATATTTCCAAGTCAGGATGGAGAGTGGTTTGGAGGGGAACTTGGAGGTGGTGGTGTTCCCATATAACTCTTGCCCTTATCCTTCTTGTTGTAAGTGGTTGTTGGTTTTGAAGGTGCTGTCTGAAGATGTTTGGTGAATTTCTGCGGTGCATCTTGTAAAAAGTACACAGTGCTGGTACTGAGCGTCGGTGGTGCCAATCAAGCAAGACGCTTTGTCCTGATGGTGTCAAGCGTCTTGAGTGTTGTTAGGGCTGCACTCATCCAGGCAAGTGGGGAGTATTCCATCACACTCCTGACTTGTGCCTTGTAGATAGTGGACAGGCTTTGGGGAGTCAGGAGGTGAGTTACTCGTCACAGTATTCTTAGCCTCTGACCTGCTCTTGTAACCACTGTTTACATGTTGAGTCCAGTTGAGTTTCTGATCAATGATAAACCCCGAATGTTGATAGTGGGGGATTCAGTGATTGTGACGCCATTGAATGTCAAGGGGCGGTGGAGGAATGTGCTGATAATCATGTCCCACTACACCATGTGTCACACCAGCAGCGTAAAACATTTGATTTAATCACCAAAATAGCCAGTTCTTACCTTTCTGCATTTCAATGCAGAATAGAAGTTTCTTAGATTTTACTGGATTTCTTTAATCAACTCAAAGTAATTCATTTATTATAACATAAAACTTGCCATTAAAAACAAATTGCAAGACTGGTTAACATTTAAAAGATAATCAGGAATTAGAGAGTAAGTCACATGGTCAGTGTGAGGGAGACTGCTGCAGTGTCAGAAACAGAATAACTGGGAATTTGGGTCAAGGTGGGAATTCAACTGGTAAATCTTTTGTAAGTTTAATTATAGTCTGAAAATAATCAGGCCTAACCTTTAAGGAAGTTAAAATAGCCTAGGTAAACAGGCAGCTGCCTGCTAGTGGAAGTTATCTATAAAACAACTGAGTGTTAGGTGTTCACTACCGGCAAGAAGTAAGGAAAAACAAGTGACTCATCAGAGCTCTCTACATAAGAAGGGCTTGTTGAAAGCACAACCTCAAATTTAGCTGCATCATCAGTGTGGGCAAGACTTGGCTGAAATGAGGCAGAGGCAGGATAAATAATGGGGAATTTGGGTCAAAATGGGAATTCAGAGCAGGAGCAGATGGGCAAAAAGAGATGCTTTAAAGAACGACAGAAGAAATAAAGTATGATTGAGAGGCCTATCTGCACCGAAACCAACAGTGACATGATTCGCTAGTGCAGTTAAAGCAGCTGATTGGTAAGAAGGTTTAGTCCATAATTTTAATCATTAAATATTGGTATTTGGTTTGTAATTAGGTTTCAACATCTTTCCTCTCTTTTTGTGAGAAATAGCTTGTTAAATATTTATACTCAGTCCATTCTTATACTAAGGGTAACAAGTACTTTTTAGTGTTACAGGATGGCAGGTCAGAAAGGCCAAGTGAAGTGTACTTCCGATGATATG